GAGGGGGGGGGTAATTTTGGATATACGCTGTGTGGCATAGCTCATCATCTGTGTCACACACCTTTTTTTACCAAGACATATTGCATTTCGAGTGTATAGTTTCAAATATATTTATTTTTGGTCAAACAGGAGTCCTTAGTTGTGCCCTAAAGTTCATCATCTATAACCTGTGGTTTTGTTCACGTTGTCAACAGAACCCTGATTTAACCACATTCAAAGAACTATAACCTGGATGGATAAGAAACACACATTAGAAAGGACTGTGAGTGTGTGTCAGTTTGGTTGCACAGAAACAGCCCATGAGGCCTGAGAGGGGAAGGAGAAAGCCCTGGTTACTGAGTAACCCAGAGCAGCAGTCCCAAGCTCACCTTTCCCCTAATAGCCCTTTACCTTCAGAACCACGTGAAGCAGGCCTGTATGCTGACTCCCCATTGTGTGCACTCGAACACACACAAACACACACCGAGAAGGCTCAGCCTCTGACGGAGAAACGCAGCGCAAGAGCAATAAGTGCAGATTTGAGTTTGACGGCAGAAAAAGCAGAGATGAAGAAGTGATGAACAATAAAGGCTGGGAGGTTTTTTTTCCTCAGCAGCTTGCTCAGTGGCAGAGTCTTAGTTTTGGTTGTTTTGTTGAGAACAAATCCTAGGTCATTGCTGCACAACAACATTTGAAAATGTGAGACTCTGAACTTATTGGAAAATGTAGAGACAACAGAGGTTTATTGACTTCTTATTTAGGAATAATTAGTCTAAAAATCTGTTTGTCAAGTGATTTCAGAAATGGTGTGTCTAGGTGATTCACATATTCCCATATCAAGGTGTGTGAGGTCAGTGTAAACTTCCACTCTATTCTTTTACAACAAGGACAAGTATTGAATCAATAGTTCCCATAAAAGAGAGTGTAAGTAAACGCAGCTCCGCCTCGCTTTTGTCTGAGCCTCTGGAAACCATTGAATGAAAATGTTTAAAAGTTTCTTAACTGTGACCTGGGACAAAGGTTGTATGAACTGTGTTTACAGTTGAATATGGGTGGAATGAGAAGTGTGCGTATATGTGTGGGAATGTGTGTACAACTGTGTGGGCACAGAGCCACTCCTTCCCATTGTAGCGGCTGAGTGAGTGAGCTGTCAATGGAAAGTGTGACTCACTAAAACCTACAACTCACAACAATAATATTTAGCATGGGGAGGGAACTGGGCCTGCAGAAGGTAGATAGGTGATTAGTGGCTTTATACGCAGACTGGGAGTGGCCGTGACAAAACTGCTCGCTTGACATCATTAATCCGCCCCAGCCCACACACTGGCCGTGCCTGTCGGGTTTGGGAGTGAGCGGCTGAAGGCTGGGCTGTAGATCCAGTTAAGGGTGAAGAGCAGAACCAGACGGATCCAGATTCACCACAGAAAAACTTTTGCAAGTTTCCTGGTAGCACAAATGTCACAGTGATTTTCCTGCCATAGAGAAGAAAAGAAAATCTCACATTTTCTTCAATTGTCATTGAAGAAATATGTAAACATTGTGCACTGTGAAAATCTTAATGTTTAAAACATTAGGATAATGGCTTTAACCCACCACTGTGATCTGTGATGTGTTTGAGGGGAACTGGTGAAAATGGTTGTGTTCTCAAGCAATAGGAGGCCAGAAAAAAAAATGTAATCTGAGGTACTTTACACTTTGAAATACCAACGCTGTTTAGTCAGACTACAGCAGTTCATATTGGGATTCACATACTGCACAAAGACGTGGGAATATAAAAAACCTCGCCACGTCTCCCAGCTCTTCTTCAATGTACAGTATCTCTCAAGCTTCTCCATTTTTGAAGGTCTTGAAATCCCAGGTTTTTGAGGGTGGGTTTAAAACTTGACTCTGTGCAGTTCAGACGATAACAATTGAACCTCTCAGGGAGTTACAGTAGTTCTTAATCAGTCCTGAAGTACAGGACAATGACCAGGGTCGGGTTTTGCTGCAGACTGTCTGAGGTTTACTTTTAGGAAAATTCCATGACGTGTGTCACAACATCACCACTGATGTTAAAATGTTCTAAATTAGAGCTTTAGTTTGTTCATGTGACTGTGACAGTGTGACAGTGATGACAATACCAGATGAAGTGATGAGTAGAGTTGGTAAAAGTAAAAATAACCGACTATAAAATATATTGAAAACTGAACTGAAACCCTTACTTCCACAAATCTGTTTTTTTTTTTTTTTTTGAGGATATTATAAATCAAAGGTTTTGAAATGAATTTGAAATATTTTTGAGACATCTGGTACATTAAGGATTTTTTAATGATCATTTTCTTGATCAAGAGTAAATTAACTAACCCTAACCCTTTGTCTACCACAGAAATTAGTGCAGAATTCTTTGATTCTCAACCTGATTATCTGATCCTCCGTGGGTCGGCTACGTAAAAAACATTTGTGCAAAGTGAACTGAATAAATTCCTAGCCGCGGATGTAAATTATAATTTTCAGCTCTAATATCACTTTTGTTGATTGTTAAATTCATTCAAAATTCATAAATTGTTCTTTGAGTTTTTTTGTCTCTTATTGACCTAGCTGAATCGAGTCAAATTGAAGTTTAAATTGAATAATCTGCCCGGGAATCACGACTGTGTTGAGGCTGAAGCTCAAGATCGTGATGTTGACTAAGTAAATGATTCAGGGAACCTGTGGAGAGCCCAGATCATCTGAGCAGCTGTCCCAACAAGCCGGAGGCTGGGTCTGGGGCCAGATCAGGCCCTGTTTTCACTGTGGAGGGAGGTTGGGAGAAGAGGGGAGGGGGGAAGGCGGATTTGAAAGTCTTCCATGTTATGTTTTTAAATGGTTGCTTTTATATCATGGAAGCAAATCTGCACAGTAAACAAGCCTTGGTATTTAACCTGAGCACAGAGAGGCAGAGAAAGGCTGTTATTTTGGAATGACTGGCACGGTAGGTAAACTCTCCAGCCATTTCCTCCTATTCAAACTCCAAAAGGTCTTGACTTTCTCTTAAGTGATGTCTTGGCTCTGACATATAAACGCATCAAGAAGTAGGAAACTGTGTTTGACCTGAAATAGGAAAACACAGTCGGAAGTCAGATAAAATTAAAGAATGGGGGTTAACGCTGTTTCGGCTTTTCGGGATGTGTGATTTATGTGGGTTCGTGCTGCTGTCACCTCTGTTGCTTTGCTTCAACATCTGCAGCCAACATGCAAAATCATTGAAAGGCTGTTTTCAAAGGACTCACAGCCTCCATTTTTAGACACATCTAGGCCAAAATATGTAAAAGGGACCTAATCACTTGGAGCTTATTTCGCCTAAATTTGCACCAAAAGAAATCAGACCATGTAGCATTTCACCAGAAGTTTCTAATTACTTTTTTTTTTTGTTCAAGATGAAAGAAAAAGTTTCTTTGACGGTATGAATTATGGTTGTTGTGGAAACTGCATGATTTTTAGCCTGGTCCTCTCGTATGTGGGTGGCCCAAACATGTGAGTCAGGGAAACAGACCACTTGGATTGCATCTGCTGTCACAATATGAGCCAGATCGTTAGGTCTACCTCTTTTTCTTTCTTCTCTCCGCTCCCTGAAGAGCAGCCATATGGTCGAGCCTCATTTCTGCCGGGGCTAACCCCCAAACCTGGCTTTCTCAACCCAGGAAACAGAGACTGGACTGAGTCAACTACATCAAGGAGCCGCAATATGCTCCATTATGTAACAACAGTCAACAACTGACTGACTGGCTACAGACATACATACAAAACAGGTTACATGTTAGAAATGTCATACATGAGAAAAGGTTTATTAGTATTAGTATTAGTTTTTTTATATTTTACTAACTCTAACTGTCATGTCATTTTTCCTGTACTGGAGAATTCAAATACTCACTTAAATCAAACTAAAACTCATATCTTTGTAAAACATCCTTCAACTTTGGTTTCACCAGCTGCTTTATTACATTTATCTGTGTCAATGTGCGTAAATAACACATTCCACAGGTCAAACTCTGCAGTAAATAAGATTTTGGAATGACATCAGGCACAGACAAACACACTGATTTCTCCCTTATCCTTTCTGTTGGCATCAATAACACTATGGTGATGCGAAGCACTTTAGTCGTCTGTATCTGTGAATAACACAGACAGCGGTCCTCGGATTATGACGTCCTCGACCTAGTTTTTGTCTTTGAAATTTGAAAAATAACAATGCATAGTTAAGCGTGTTTTTAGTCAGTAATAATTATATTTAATTTAGGATAGTACATTCTTTTGGACATCTGGGGGGTGATAATACTGTCTCTGTGTTTCTGTTAAATGTTCATTCTACTAGTTTGATACATTTTCTATTTACCTTTCAGTCTTCATCAAAGAAATCCCTCAGTTGGAAGAATGCGTAGATAATGAGCACCTGTTGGAAGTACCCTTTCCTATTTTTTCTAGACAGTAAAAGAAAACCAGGGCCACTGATGAGCTCAGGGAGGCAAATCAGCAGTGGACCTTCCACCTGCTCCTTGGCTCAGTTGCCCATGGGAACAGGTCTGGATCATTCTAGCATGCAGTGGCTTGCCCCAGGAGATGCCAGCTACAGAGAACTGTGTCCAGACTTGCCTCCTCTCCCACAGCCTCACTCTAACTGCTGTACAGGTCAGGCCTGTTTTTTTCTGTCTAGCCTGGGGGCCTCGAACGAGATAATTGGTGAACTTTTTTTTAAGGATGACTATAACATTGGATTAAGTGTAACAGCTGAGCCACCACCTACGGCTACAGTATGTGATTCTCTGCTGTAAAATGATGTGAAATCAGTGGCTTCGTCAGAGTCTTCATCTGCTGCCTGCGTTTCTGTATTAAAAAATATATATATATATATATACAGCACCAAATTAAATTAAGTAATTAATTAATTAAAAAAGGATACACTATTGGCAATTATAGCTATTTTTCTATGTGCATTCAATGCATTTGCATTTGAATGTGATTTGTTGTTGCTTAAGAGATGGAAGAAGGACACAACGGACAAAAAATAAAGCTTCACAACCCCAGCTTTATTACAGTGATTTGTTACATAAAGCTAATGCATTTTGTAGATGCAGGTGGCAGATGAAGGGATTTAGGCTACCACATCCATTTGCCATCACCATTACCACATAAAACCCTCATCAAACATCCACTTATCACCAACAAGCTTTAAATCGGCCTCTTCGTGCTCCTCCGGATCCTGTCTTTCAGAGCGCACATTTAAATCCTCCCACTCTTCCATCTGATGCTGCATCGCTGGGTCGTGTGTTGCATCTCCCTGGAGGCCTCAGGCTCTCTGGGGGACCAATAATGCCCGTCATGCAGGCTGTAATAACCCAGCAAATGCAAAAGGTGATAGGCATTAGTGACAACCCTGACAGCTCCTCTCACAGCTCGTGTGGCGCCATTGCACCGGACTGTGTGCATCAGCTGGGAAAACAAACCTGGACTGACAACAGATCTGATCCACATTCCACCCATCCCAGGACGCACGTAGGGACATAGCCAGACCACCAGCTCTCTCACACGCAGCACGGGTGTGGGAGTGAGGTTTAGCCTTGAAGAGGTGCAGGGTTGGCTGAGTTTCAAAAAACTCCTCTGCTTTGAAATGTAGCTGACATCATGGTGAGCTTGAACGTCTCAGTAAGACTAGAGAACACGCACCTCAACCTCACTGCTTTTGTCCTGTCTTAGTCCTAGTTTAGATCAGTGGATCCTGACCTTTTTTGGCTCGTGACCCCAGTTTGACATTACAAATTTCTGGCAACCCCATGAGACACTTTAGCAGCTGTCCCTTGTGTAGTCAGGTGATCGCAGCTGTCCATCAAGATGTGTCAGCTGATATATTTGAACGTGCTGCATTTGTTTGAACTTGATTTACATTATTAATAATGAGACAATACAGTTGTTTGAGAGTGTGGGCAATGTTTTGATTTTAAATCTTAAAATGAATTATTATTAGCTGAAAACTAATTTTTTAAGAATTCTTTTTGGATTTTTTTGACATTTCAGGTCACCCCGTTTGAATAGCCGGTGACCCAACGCAGGTCGCTGACCCCAAGGTTGAAAAATGCTGGTCTAGATAGTCTTTAACAGTATAAGTGAGAGCTTGGTGTGTTGTGGTCCAGGTGCTGATAAAGGCGTCCTGCGGTCCCAAGCAGGCTCTCCAGGTCCATGCTGTGCAGTCCCCAGACAGACTTGGTTGGACCCTGTTTGGACTTTGTACAGCTGAGTGCAGGTTGTCCAGCAGGCTGTGTTGTCCCAGCCTCCAGCCAGCGACATTAGATAAAGCTGGAATCACTCCCAGAGAGCGGCTGAGCACATGTGTGATGAGACGCGGCAGGTGGTGAGCGCTGACTTGACAGCAATTAAATGTACAAATCTCTGATTAAGCTCGAGGGAAAGCAGTCATTAGCAACAGTGACTCTCCCACAACACACACCTCCACACGTATCCACAGCCTGTGCAACATGTACACACTGACATGTATCATCATCCTGTAAAGAAAAGAAAAAACACTTCTGAAGTTGTTTTGAGAATCAAATAAGAATATCATTGAGTTTTGACATTTAATTGATTTTCCATTCACCCATTAATTTTGTACTACTATATTAATTATGTTCTGCAGTACGTCCCAGAGCGAACCGGGTCAATAGCAGCAATCACTAGGCATAGATTCACCAGGTCATGTGAACATGTGAAGTAGAAGCAAGTAGAAAAAAGGACAGGAGTTCAAAGAAAAATCAAACAAAAACTATTTAAAAAGAAGCTTCTGTGTTTGACTAAATTATTTTATTTGAAAAAACAATTACTTTGAAAAAATCTGATATAAATAGGGGCAAAAGAGTAGGTGTGGCCTACTATTTAATTATTTACTATATATATAAAATATGTAAATACATATAGTAATAATAACAACAATAACAATTATATCATTATTATTATTATTATTATTATTATTATTATTATTATTATTGTTGTTGTTGTTGTGAGTGTTACAGATTACAGACATGTTTTACCTGTTTTTAAAAGTTAACCTCAAACTACTAGCTAAAACCCATTGCCTATCTAATAATATTGGACTATACCAGTATCCATTACATGATAATCTTAGAAATCTAAAGGGTCCAAATCAAGGTATTTCTATATAATGCTGCTTAATGCTGCTAACCCAGGAACTAGTTTTTATATTTGTTTTCCAAAACTGTAATGAAGTTGTAATGGTACTATGTGCTATTTAATGCTACAGTGCTACAGGCACAGGGCTACAGGGCTACAGGGCCAGGAGATGCAACTGATGACGTCAACCATTACCACAATAATGGTTGTTATAACATTTTTGTCATCAGTTTTATCTCCTCGATTATGTTTTGTTTCTCTGTTTTCCTGATCTTTCCCTTTTATACGAATGTGCTGCCAGTCCTAATCACAGGAACCAACCTACACTGGAGGTGCATGCCTTTGCACATGGCAGCACAAATTAAAATGTCTACTGCCTCCCACCTCTCTAATTCTCTGGCACTGTGCTCCGACCAGGCCCACGAATTACAAACAGGCTTCTCCATATGGTGCAGCCGGCATGGGGTAGACAAGGATATTGACACAAGCTCTCTACTAAAGTCTTTGTGTCAATAAGCCAGAAGACCAGAACACATCTGGCCAACCACAAGGTGCTAACACTATAACATTAATAGCAGCAAGTTTGAAGAGACTAATACATATATAAAACAGAAAATGTTTGGAAAAAGATTTCAAAATGTTATCTTTTCAGCATTTTTCTCATAAAATAAGAGTATTTTGAGAATTTTTTTAGAAAAAAAAATGTTTGGAAATTTTTTTGCTAAACTCCAAACTGGACATGGTCAGATGGTGAACATTTTTTATTAGTCTTTTTGAAAAATACAATTTCAAAATGTTATGTTGTCTACACGTTTCTCATCAAATAAGACCATTTTGAAAAAAAAAATCTGATTTTTTTTTTTTGGAATTTTTAGGCAAAATCCAAATTTCGCATGTTATAACGATTTCATGAATATTATTGGGGATGTTCTCTGCATGTTTCTCATCAAATAAGAGCATTTTGAGAATTTTTTTATTATTTTTGGGTAAATAAAAGATAAAAAAGAGTATTTGCAAAAATCTTGGGAAAAACCTTTAGAAAAAAATTTTGGTTAGATGTTAAAATTTTCTGATGAAAATCGTTGAATTTTTTTTCAATATTTGTTTTAGAAAAAAAAAGTTTTGATAAAAAATTTTCAAAAGAAAAATTCTGGTCAGATGTTGATACATTTTGATGAAAATCTAAAATAGTAAAAAAAAATTCAAAATTCTATCTTTTTACATAAACATAGGGCATTTTTACATAAACATAGGGCATTTAGAAAACATTTTGGAAAATGTTCTTTTATAAAACGTTTTGTCAAAATGTTAACTTTTTGTGTCATTTTTGGTCAAAAACTAATACATTTTGACAAGAATTTTTGTAAAATTATTTTTTCAAAATTGTATCTTTTACTGCATGTTGCTCATTTTTTTTGATGGTAAGGCTATAGTAA